CTACATCACCTGGGTAGTATCTGGTTTTTCCTGGCAAGAAACCAATTACACGCTGACCAGCCTGGACGTCTTTGTAGCAGGGAAGTTTGTCGAGTATTACCGCTGCTGCGTCCTTCTTCTGTAGAGTGGTGGTGTCGCCATCGTCATAGTTGATGAACACAGTTGTGGAAGAGGCGCTTGTGACAAATCCTCGATAATAAAGACCATCTGTCCGGCGGGCAAATACTCTGGCGCCCACTGCGGGAATAAACAAAACGAGAATATTAACCGACTATGGTACATGCAAAATCAACTGGTTAATGCCTTACAAAACACTTTGATGTTTTATTTGGCATTTATCCTTCAAAAAACGAGATTTTGCGTGGAGTACCATTGAAAAAATGGGAAAATGTACGTGATGCCTTTTTTTTGAAAGCCTAAGTAACATTTGTTGTAAGGGGTGGACCATGACTTTTGAGTTGGGTGTGATTTTATACATAAGTGAGCTTTCAGTGCAATCGCCATTCCAGTCGAATAGAAATCTAGCCAGAATCAAAAAACTTTATTTGAACCTCGTGGTTGGCAAACCTTCATTTTCAAAAAAATACCCTCAAGGATACTGCACCAAAAAAATCATGCACATGACCACTACCGAAGAACAACACACCCACGTTCAGGGAGCCAAAAAAAAGCTTGTTACACGGATAAAAATATCATGCATACACATGCACTAAGACAAAAAATTGCTAGTGCATGAAAGGGTTAAAAAAAAATGGCTATACCAAATCACCGCCCCTCTCTCTCAGAAGTGAAATAGTCCACCACTGAATACAATATGGAAATTGGCGTCAAACAATGGAAATCCCCGAGGGGGCTTCCATATATAAAGGACGGGGACGCTCACGGAAATTTTGAAAAGAACCCCTAAGAGGTACCGGGATCCTGTTTTGTGGGCCATGGCTTGAACTAAGAGGTACCAATTCTAAAGCAGCAATATCCTAAATGGTAAGGCAAAAGCGCCCGCTGTTGGCCTCAGTTTTGAGGCTGAACACACTAAGAGGTACCAAAACAGTTTTTTAGCCCCTTAAAGGTACATCGAGCACCCCCGTCCTTTTTTATGGAAGTCCGNCCCCCTAGAGAGAATTCCCAAATCACACTAGAGCATTTATGATAAAATGCAAGTAGATAAGACTGCTGTTGATAAAATTTAGCTCTCGGGGAGAAACGAGTCTCTTACTAACCGTCATGAGCCGAGAAATGATCCGGGAATATTCTTAACTGGCTGGTGGTGTAAAAATCCTCGTAGTTGTCATCAAAAGTGACTTTCCAGCGGTTGTTAGAATCCTTGTCACATACATAACCAAAGTAGTATTGGCGGCCTCCTGTCCAAGTCGTCACGACATGGTCACCGATGTCCACTTGATTGGGCACTGTATCAGCAATTACAGCTGAAATGTCGGTGTCACTGTGGGTGATCGTGTTACCGTCGTCAAACAAAATGCGTATCAACCCATTTGCAGTTGATGACACTTTGCCAGCATAATAAAGATTATTCGTCCAACGGGCTATGATTCGATCATTAACTGTAAGAACAATAATAAAAAGAAAAACTCAGACGTAAAACAGATGGACTGCTTCAACCTCGTTTCCATGGCCTTTTATGGGAACGAGGTTAGGACTGTCTCCTTTGCCTGAAGGATCCCGTACAGGGAAGAGAAGAGACAGAGCGTTATGGTCAGTACTGAGCGCTCACTTATATCTCTAGATGTTTGAACTTCGTGTTTCGGAAGGAAAGGAAATTTTTCCATCCAATCTGCCATGACTATACTTTTCTTTATACAGGGTCTTCTATCTGCTAACCTGTGTTTATCGCCGCCGGAATTTTTTTCCCACATCACTCATTGATACAAATGACTCGCGATGTTATGTTCTTGGTTATGAACATATTCAACAAAACAGGATGCAAAGGGCAGCTCGGTTAATTTGTAATAATAAACTGAGAGCAGTTTTTAAAGGAATGACTCCTTTGTTGTCACAACAATGCAGTAGCAACGGTAGTCGTGCAGAATACTGTTGTAAGTTCAGATGTACTGGGGATACTAGCGCATAAGTCTCCGGTACAAGCATAAGCAACATTTAGCAGACGCAATAAAATCTTTGTAGTTACCTCGAAAATTAGGATACAAGATCGGTCGCCACTGATGAAGTCCTGTGCTTTGTCCGGCTAGGATAACAACGACGCAAATAACGGCTGCGAAGGATGCACCAAATCGTGACATTTTCAAGCTTCGATTACTACGTTGCGGCCCTAAAACTCAGGTGGATTTGAAATGATTGTGATGGCTAGGCTACTTAAAGAGAGCTTAACTTCCGTGTGACTGTTGTATTTCTGGTACATTCGATCATGTCACCCTTTAACTTGTTTCAGCTCAGGAGGAAGAACACTGATACACCGCTCCATGCGCGTTTGAAATGTTGTCAGCTTCTTTATTCCTGTCAAAAAACAATTAGCTTATATCAAGGATCACGAGTACCTGCGATTCTTAAAGAACTCCATCGTTAATCTCTTCTTAGTTTTGAATTTCTTTTGCTTTATCTCCACTTTGACTCTCTTCCATCAAAATAATATTTGTGCCCGCACGTGAGGTTTTATGCCAAGAAATTTGCTGTTGAATTCTTTTCCTTAACTAATTGAAAAAAAAAAACGCCAGTATTTGTCAGAAAAAAATCAGACAATTTGTTGGTAACCTTGAACTTGTATTAGCTGAGAAGGAGGAGCATTGTTACACGGCACGTGTGAACTGTCGTTACCTTCTTCATTCCTGAGAATATATCTCAGTTAGAACGCGCGCTGCGATTGGTCAATTTAGCGGGCCGCAATCTACTGTGCGGCTCGATAAAAAGCTGTTTTTGTTGCCATAATGTTTCGTGATTTATCGCCAAGTCTTCTAAACTTTTTCAGCAAATAAAAGTTAAAACTCTCTTTTACTTCTGAAATTGTGTATTAAAACTTACTAACGACTTAAGAGTCACTTAACATCGATTTCAAATTGACTCGTTTTGCTTTCGAGGTGCGTCAGAAATTCGTAGCCGTTCCGCGTGAATAGAAATCGTTCCCGACCCGTCAGACACACGGTGGAGACATAATAAATATCTTACTAACCTCGTTTTCTTGGTCCGTACTGTGAGTTACGGATCCTCGTTTTTCCCCTACGATTTATGGCCCAAGCTCGATGCGCGCGGGTCCTAAATCGATGGGGAAAAAGCTCGGTCCGCAACTTACAATACGGCCCTCGAACTCGGTTAGTACGGGATATTTCTTCTCCCTTCTAATGTGTTGTTTTAACTCCACTCTCGATTGTTCTCGATTGTTCTCGATTGTTACACAAGCACCTACCGAAAAGATGGTAAAAAGAGGCTGGCATTAGAAGATGTTTTGTTTGTTATTGAGTGTGCGCTCAATGTGTACTGCAGTCATCCCCATAGTCCCGAGACCCTGAAAAACAAATTTGAGGTATGCACAACAGGGGGAATAACAATAACAAACGTGATACAGAAAACGAAACGCGTACAAAGAATAGACGCCTGGTAAAAATTGAAGAATTATTTCGAAGGAATGTGTCAACGGTATCTGCTCAGGCGAAAGAAGAAATAGCCTGTGTACATCCACGCCCTACCCCTCTTCCTGCCCCGTCGGATGTCCAAGTTAAAGGGTGGGCTACATTACAAAACTACCAAAGGTCTAGGAAAGCTTTTTCCATAGACCTTTCATCTGTTCGTTTTTTCGTTGCTATTTATTTAACTTGCTCTTTTTTTTTTTGTTGCTATTAATCTTACTTGCTCTATTTTCAGTTCAAAGGTAGGGTTGTCTCATGTACATCAATTGAAAATTAACTGACAAATGAGGAAAGAATGGATCAACTGGAAACACGTGCTTAATAAGCTACTCCCCTTTTTGTTTCCGAAAAAAAACACACCAAGCTGTCAATGTCTCGTTTTCTCACAAGTTTTCCAAGTTTCTTCAAGTTTCATGACCTGAAAAGCTGGTAAGCGACCAGTTTCTATTGTTTCAGCTTGTGGTTGCAATTGCTTGCGATGGCTTATTCTCGCAAACCACACCAGCTTTTTTAATTCCTTAGGTGATCGCTTGGGAGACCTTCCACTTTAATAGAAAAAAAGCGAAATACGTGCATAGAAATAGAAGCATGGCAAAACTGAGAACAGAGATATCTATACTTGGGTGTTAGTAGTTTCTGTTCTATTTCTACCGTAGAGCTTGACAGGTAACTTTGAACTCCTATCAGCTGAGAACGAAGAGTATTGTTGCACGGCACGTGTGACTTGCTATTAACTTCTTCATTCCTAACAGATTCACTTAGTACTATAATAAAGTAAAAACTAATTAAAGAACCTTTTTTTCAATAGACCTTTAATCTTGTTTTTCACTTTGTACTTTACGTCTGTTCAAAGCCAGGTTGACAAATGTTCATCAAATGAAAAGTAACTGAGAATATGGGACACAAATGTATTTACGTACTGGAAACACGTTCCAATTTCCGTAATTTTTTATATCTGAGTTGTACTGAGGAAAGTTGTACGAAAATGTTGGCATCATTTGTAATTGGTGCATGTCTTTAAAAATAAGCCTTCTGGCTCTTCAAAGAGGTCTTGAGAAACAAACTGCGATGGTGTGCGGCGCATATAACTTGTGCGAACAATGAGGAAATTAAAGCAACACAAAATCTCAAGCTCTTAGGTGTTACAAAAGATATCAATTGTAACTTCATTGATCACATAAGCTCAATTTGTAAGAAGGCAGTTTAAAGGATCGGCGTTCTCATGAGACTCAATTCCTTTAAAAAACGAAGGCTAAGCTAGTCACACCGTACCTTACGTACAAGTATTGCCATTTAGTTGGACATTTTTGTTGATCTAGTGATGCGCGAGAACAAGCAAGACTTTAATAAAGAGGACCGAGAGTGGTGAGCACAGACTGAAGCATGCAAGTTATTCAAAATTAATTAAGAAGGCTGAGTTACCAACGCTAATGAAAGGCACTTGCAGGATGTTTGCATCCTACGTTGTTCTCTTGTCACAATTAAAGATTTATATCTTTTTGTTATAGAAAAAACAATGAAAGACCTGGCGAGCTACCAGAAGTAAATTAGCGCCCG